GCCGTTTTTATGCCTGCTGCCTTACCCCGTTATGCGTTCGCGCGCGGTGCGATCGCCGTTATTCCGTTATCCCTGGCCTGCGCGCCCTGGGGGCTGCTCGCCGGCTCCATGGCCATTGATGCGCAATTCACCCCGTTGCAAGCCCAGGGGCTGTCGACCATCGTGTTCGCCGGTGCTGCGCAGTTGGTGGCCATTGGTATGGTCAAAAGTGGCGCCAGCCTGATATCGATCGTGCTGACCACCTTGCTGCTGACCTCTCAGCATTTGCTCTACGGCATGCACCTGCGGCCAGTGCTTTCTCCGTTAAGTACCCGCTGGCGTATCAGCCTGGGGTTCTTGCTGACCGATGAGTTCTTCGCGTTGGTCAGCCACTACGACCGCCAGACCTTCAATCGCTGGTACGCCCTGGGCGTGGGGCTGACCTTCTATATCATCTGGAACCTGTTCACCCTGGCCGGCATTGTGCTGGGCAAGAGCATTCCGGGCCTGGACCAGCTAGGGCTCGAATTTCGATTGCCGCGACCTTCATCGCGTTGATAACCCCGGTGGTGCGCGATGTACCAACGGTGGTGTGCGTGGCGGTGGCGTTGCTGTTTTCGGTCTGGCTGAGCTTTTTGCAGTGGGAGTCGGCCGTGGTGGTGTCGGGTTTGCTGGGCATGGGCGCCGGCTTTGCCTGTAAGCGACTGGGGGTAGGGCAGCGATGATTTACCTGATGATTGTGGCCATGGGCCTGGTGGTGTTCTTCAACCGCTATCTGTTTATCGAACCGCGTCTGCCGGTGCGCCTTAATCGCGGTGCGCGAGAGTTTCTAGGGTTTGCGGTGCCGGGCATGCTGACGGCGATCTGCGGGCCGATTATTTTCCTGGCCGACCATCACCTCAACCTGAGCCCGACCAATCCGTATTTGCTCGCCGGCCTCTGCGCGGTGGGGTTAATGGTCTGGACGCGCAATGTGTTGCTCACCGTGTTGCTGAGTATGGCGGTGTTCTATTTGCTGCGCTGGTGGCTGTAAAACCCAGGCGAAAAAAAGCCCGCGGGAGAGCGGGCAGAAGGAAGACTTCATAAAAATGAGCCAGGCCAGTGTAGGTGGCTACGGCGCGTATCACAGTGAGAATAAATTTATCCTGCCAAAGCAAAGCGGCCCCAATCGGGGCCGCTTCAGGGCATCAGTTTTTTGCGTTGAGCTTGCGCAGCTCTTCGTAGGTGGCCGACTGGACGAACCAGAAGCCGGAAATGATGCACCACGTCAACGTTCCCCCTACCAGCACCGCCAGGCCCGACAGGAAGCTGGCGCTGAACATCGACACCAGACCGATCAACCAGACGAAGGCCAGGGCGATGTACAAAACCGTGTTGTTAACGCTGATAACGAAATCTTTCATGACGCTTCCTTGTAGAAAATAACCGGTCGGCCTCATCAGTGAAGCCGACCGCGGCATCATAGTGCCATGTTTGTGCCGATGCCACTCCAGCCTCGATCAGGCACCACCAGAGCAACGTAATAGTCTTTGGCGGGTGCCCGTAAATGGTAGAGTCGCGTTTTTTCCAAGGAAGCGATGGCATGCGGAACGTGGTATTGGGCGCATTGGCACTGGCGGTACTGAGCGGTTGCGCGGGTTCGAAGATGAACGAGGCACGCACCGGCGCACCCTACAAAACCCTGGCATCGGACAAGGCCACACTGGTGGTTGCCGAGTGCATTCAGTTCGGCTGGCAGGATGAAAGTGTGTTCGGCGTGGACGCCGGTGGCTTCAAGGAACCGAGCGAGGCAGGTGGTTTCACCGTGTACACCACTGGCGGCGATTACTTCGTCGACATTCAGAGCGTCGGCGCAGGTTCCAGCGTCAAGTACTACGCCGCCGAAGATACGATGCCCGCCAAGCGTCGCTTGGCCGCACTGGCGACCTGTCTGTAGTCCCTTGCCTTAGTCATATTCGGAAACGCCCGGCGGGACAGGCTTTGGGCATTGGCTTATGATTCACCTCGCTCGCCCGGGGTGATGGCTCTTTACCGGTACACGGACGTCGAGGCCGTCGCGCCGGGCGAGCATCCCTCCTTGATCAGCGTGGCATGTAGCCCAAGTGCCAACGCCGCGGAATCTTCAACGACACCAACCCCAACACCGCCGCCAATGCAGCGCTGACCCAAAGCGCGCGCAGGCCCATGTGCTGCTGCAACACTGCACCGATCACGGCGCCGACAAACATGCCGCCCCATGGAATCAGTTGCACCCGCCAACCGCTGCGACGTTCGCCCAGCAGCCAACGGCCCAGCCCGCGACCGAAACGCGAAAGTGCGCCGGTCACATAGGTCAGGCCCACCGGCAGACCGTTCACTTCCTCGACCGCCGCGTTAAGCATGCCCATGGCCACGATGGCAGCCAGTAGCGCAGGCAACATGTCTTCGAATGGCCCAGAGTGTGTAAAAACACTTCCGTATCGTGGATGCCTCAGCCCAGCGCAGCCAGGCGAGTCGATTGGCCACGTATTTGCCACGATCAGCATCGGTAACGCTCCGGAGCGCTTATGAAGCGTTTTAGCGCAACCTGGAGCAGCAAAAGCCGGAGGTTTTTACGCCGCTATTGCCTTCAACAAGCCTTCGGCACCGATGATTCTCATGACCCGCTTCATGTTGTAGGCGAGCACATTTAGACTCATCTCCGCGCTGACGCCGGCCAGCCTACGCGTGAGGAAATGCGTGGATCCCATCCATTGTTTGAGCGTCCCGAAGGGATGCTCAACAGTGCGCTTTCGGACTCGCATCATGTCCGGCGCCTGGTTCAGCCGGTTCTGCATTTCGTCTAGCACGGCTTCATGCTCCCAACGCCGCACTCGTCGCTGCTTGCTCGGCGTGCACTGAGTTTTCAGGGCGCAGCTTTGGCAGTTCGAACTCCAGTAGCAGTGCATGTTCAGGCCTTTCTCGACGCTGGAGAAACGCCAAATCAATGCCTCGCCAGCCGGGCAAAGGTATTCATTTTTAGCTGCGTTAAAAACGAAGGCATCTTTGTTGAAACGCCCGTCCGCTTTAGCTCCTGAAGTCATCGACTTGGGTACATAGGCGGTAATTTTTGCATCATGGCAGGCCAGGATTTCCTCGCTTTTGAAGTAGCCTCGATCAGCCACGACGGACAGCGTTTCTGAACCAATGGCTTCCCGCGCCTGCTTCGCCATCGAGCTGAGTTGGTCGCGGTCAGAGCCAACGTTCGTGACCTCGTGAGCAACGATCAAATGGTGCTGGGTATCGACCGCCGTCTGTACGTTGTAGCCGACGATGCCATTGCCACGCGTCATCATCGAGCGGGCATCGGGGTCGGTCAGTGAGACCTGTTTGTCTGGAGAGTCGTTGAGCTGAGACTCGATCACCTGAAGCTCTTTCATCTGAGCTTTGAGCTTGGCGATTTTCTCTTCCAGGCGCGTAGCGTCTGGCTCAGCGGCGCTTGGCACTTGCCGATCAGCTGCATCAAGGGAGGTCAGGTAACGGTTGATGCTCGACTCGATTTCTCCCATTCGCCGCTTCAGTTTGGCGCTGGTGAAATTGCGGTCGCGGTTGTTCACTGCCTTGAATTTGCTGCCGTCGATGGCCACCAGGTTTTCGCTAAACAACCCCAACTGCTGGCACAGCACAACGAACTGGCGGCACACGCCGCGAATGGCTTTGCTGTTGTCTTTTCGGAAGTTGGCGATGGTTTTGAAGTCGGGCATCAAGCGCCCGGTTAACCACATCAATTCGATGTTGCGCTGGGCTTCTCGCTCAAGACGTCGACTCGATTGGATGCGATTGAGGTAGCCGTAGATATAGATCTTCAGCAGGATCGCAGGGTGATACGCAGGTCTGCCGGTTTCGGCGGGAATGACGCCATCAAAACCCAACGAGGCCAAATCGAGTTCATCGACGAAGGCATCAACCACCCGTACCGGGTTGGAATCGCTGACGTAGTCGTCGAGCCTCTCGGGAAGTAAGGTGCTTTGCCCTCGGTGCTCACCCTGGATAAACCGTTTCATGGGCTTCCCTTGCGATGAAATTCTCAGAAATCATAGCAAGGGTATGTCCGGGCGTTTTTACACACTCTGGGCCAGAAGGCGCCGCAGCACAGCAACGCAGCGATATACAGCAGCAGCGGCAGGGCGTGGCGCCGGCTGAATCGGCTGACCACAATCCCCAGCGCGTTCCCCAAAACAAAGGTGGAGACCAGCAACAGTAGCCGTACGGTCAGGCTGTGGTCGCCGGCGCCGATAGCCACCGCCAGGCGGGTGGTGTTACCGCTCATGAACGAAACGAAGTCGCCGCTGGCCATAAAGCCAATGGCATCCGTCATACCCGCCAGCACCGATAAGCTGCCCACCAGCATCATGCCGATGCGGCCTCGCCATAAGCGTCGATGAGCCAGTGCAGCGTTGGCGTACGGTTTGCGGGGCGCAGGCAGCATGGACGCGGGTTCCTCGGTGAGATTATCCGGCCACTACGGTAGGACGCTTTGACCTTACGCGCAATGATCTCAGACAGCTTCCAGGCACCATCCTGTGGATGTCCACTGCAACCGATGGGTCGGGCCGATGGCCTGGATAAACGCCTCGTCATGGGATACCACCACCAATGCGCCGGCAAACCCTTGCAACGCCTGTTCGAAGGCAAGCACCGACTCCAGGTCCAAGTGGTTGGTCGGTTCGTCCAGCAGCAATAATTGCGCCGGGATCTCACGCCACAGGGCAATCGCCATCGCGGCCTTTATACGCTCGCCACCGCTGAGCTGCGCGACCGGCTGAGTCACACGCGCAGCGTTCAGTTGCAGCAAAGCCAGGCGAGTACGCAGCTCGCCTTCGGCCAGCGGCGTTTCGAGCAGATTGAGGTGCTCGATAACCGAACGTTGGTCCTCCAGAAAGGCCAGTTGCTGATCGATGTAGGCGGTGGGCACCGGCACCCAACACTCACCGCTGACTGGGTGGGAATCGCCCGCCAGCACTTTGAGCAAGGTGGATTTGCCGCAACCGTTAGGGCCCTGCACGATTACTCGCACGGGGCCCATCAAACTGAGCGTCAGTGCGGGTGTATCCAACCATGGTAGGCATGCATCCACCAACCTCAGCACCAGCCGCCCCTTAGGCACCGTCGACGCAGGCAAGGCGATCAATGTCGGCGACTGTTCCTCCACGCGCTCATGGGCTTGGCGGACCTGAGTATCCAGTTGTTGTTTACGCGCGTATTGCTCACTGCGCACGCTGCTGACCACTTCGCTGGCGGTGCGCTTCCAGCGCGCCTGGGTAAACCGGTCCACATTCGCGGTTTGTGCGTGCTGGTGCGCATGGGCGGCATTGCGTTGCAGTGTATCGTGGTCCTTTTGTAGACGACGGCGTTCGCGACTGCGCTCCAGGCGCGCCTGTTCCAATGCCGCGACGGCGGCCTGTTGCTCGGCGTCGCGTTGCCGGCGATAAGTCTCGTAATTACCGCCATAGACGAGAAGACCGAGGGGCGACACTTCGACGATGCGCGCCAGGCTATCGAGCAAGGGCCGATCGTGACTGACCACCACCAAGCCGCCGCGCCACTGGCCCAGCGCTCGCATCAGCCAGGCGCGGCCATCGCTGTCGAGGTGGTTGGTGGGCTCGTCGAGTACCAGCACCTGTGGCGACGCCAACAGGGCGCCAATCAGCACTACCCGCGCCAGTTGGCCGCCACTGAGCTGTTCGGCCGATGAATCCGCCGCCAGTGACCCCAGACCGGCTTCATCCAGGGCCGCGCGCAGACGTTCGGGTAGATCCCAGCGATTGTCGATCAGGTCAAAATCGTCGATGTGCGCCGCGCCCGCAGCCATGCGTTCCAGCGCTGCCAGCACGTTGGCAGTGCCGCTAAGATCGGCAACGCTCATTCCCGGATTGACCACCACCCGTTGCGGCACATAGACCGCGCTGGCCGAGCGGGTGATCGAGCCGGATGACGGCACAAGCACCCCGGCGATCAATTGCGCGAGCACGCTTTTGCCACGGCCATTGCGTCCCACAATACCGGTGGAGGTGTGATCGATGGACAGGTTCACGTCAGCCAGCAAGGTTTCGCCATTGGCGAACTGGAAGGTAACGTGTTGCAGGGAAATCATTGCGGGCAGCCGTTTGACGTGAGTCATCAGCACCTCCAAAAAAATGTCGGACAGGCCAACTAGCGCGCATGGCGCTGGTTGCGGATACATTTTGGAAGGCTTAGTGGTTCACGTCGGCGGTCGTCCTAGAGAACAGGAGGGCGGCAGAGCCTAACCTGCCTTGGCCTTTTGCGGCAAGTCGGCGGCCAGTCTTTCCAGGAACATCGCCAGTGCAACTTCCTCGGCTTTCAATCCTTTGCGCACTCGCGGCTTGGGCAATTTCGACAACTCGCCAAGGCTGAAATGCTCCAGCACCGCCGGGTGGATGTAACACTTGCGGCACACCGCCGGAGTATTACCCAGCTGTTTGGCGACATCCTTGACCATCGCCACCACATGGCGCTTGGCATCGGATTCGGGCTGCCACTCCAACTCGCGCAGCACCGCCAACGCCATGGCGGTGCCGGCCCAGGTGCGGTAGTCCTTGGCGGTGAAGTCTTCGCCGGTGAGGCTGTGCAGATAGGCATTCACATCATGCGAGCTGACCGTGTGGCGCTCGCCGTTCTCGTCCAAGTACTGGAACAGGTTCTGTCCCGGCAATTCCATGCAGCGTTTCACCACATTTGCCAGGCGGCGGTCCTTCACGCTGAGCTGGTGCTCGACGCCGCTCTTGCCGCGAAACTGGAACTGGATTTCGCTGCCTTTGACGTCCACATGACGGTTGCGCAGGGTGGTCAAGCCATAGGATTTGTTGTCGCGGGCGTATTGGGTATTGCCGACGCGGATCAGGGTGGCGTCCAGCAGCATCACCACGGTAGCCAGGACTTTCTCGCGGGTGAAACCGGGCTCGGCCAGTTGTGCTTCCAACTGCTTGCGCAGTTTTGGCAGGGCATTGCCGAAGGCTTGCAAGCGCGCGTACTTGTCGGTGTCGCGCACTTCGCGCCAGCGTGTGTGGTAGCGGTATTGCTTGCGCCCACGGGCGTCGCGGCCGGTGGCTTGCAGGTGGCCGCGCGGGTCGGCGCAGATCCACACGTCGGTGTAGGCCGGTGGCACCGCCAGGGCGTTGAGACGTCGGATCTCGTCAGCATCGGTGATGCGTTCGCCCTTGGGGTCGAAGTACTGGAATTTGCCGCGCACTTTCTTGCGGCGAATGCCCGGCTGGGTGTCATCAACGTAATGCAGGTCGCGAGGCAGGTCGGCGGGCAGCGCGGAGTCGGGCATGGGTCAGGTTCCTTGGCAACAAAATCAGGCCGGTATGTCTGATGGACCGCAGCTGTGTGCGGTCGTGCCAAAAGGTTTGCTAGGCCAGCACCGCCACGGCCTTGATCTGCGCCCACAGAGGCTGGCCGGGATGCAATTGCAACTGATCGCGGGAAAACCGTGTGATGCGCGCCAGTAACGGTGTACCACCGGCGTCCAGGCGCACCAGTACATGGGCGCTATTGTCCGCGGCGATTTCCTCGGTGACGGTCACCGGCAAACGGTTGAGGATGCTGCTGTGTTCTTCGGCCTGCGGGCTGAGGCTCACGTCACGAGCCTGCACCTTGACCCGCAGGGCCTGGCCGATGCCCAGCGGTGCGTGGGCCACGCGCATGGTCGAGGCACTGCCCGGCAACTGCAACGTGAGTAATTGGTAGTGCGCATCGTAGGCAGTGACCACGCCGTCGATCACCACACCGGCTTCGTCGCCACGCGCCAGGGGCAGGTCCAGGCGCGCCAGCGTGTCGCCGATGGGACCGCTGGCCAAGGCCTTGCCGTCGCTGAGCAGCACGATGTGATCGGCCAGGCGCGCCACCTCATCCTGGGCATGGCTGACGTACAGCACCGGGATGTCTAACTCGTCGTGCAGGCGTTCCAGGTACGGCAGGATTTCGCTTTTGCGCTGGCTGTCGAGGGCGGCCAGGGGCTCATCCATCAGCAGTAAGCGCGGGCTGGTAAGCAATGCGCGGGCGATGCCGATGCGCTGGCGCTCGCCGCCGGACAGGTGCTGCGGGTGACGTTCGAGCAAGTGGCCGATGCCCAGCAGTTCGGTGGCCTGAGCCATGTCCACCCGCCGTTGCGCGCGCGGTGTGCGCTTGAGGCCGAAGGCCAGGTTGGCGCGCACCGACAAATGCGCAAACAGGCTCGCTTCCTGGAACACATACCCCAACGGGCGCTGGTGCGGTGGTACGAATAGGCCGCTGCGGCTGTCTTGCCAGACCTCATCGTTGATCCGCACAAAGCCGTCGCCGGCCCGCTCCAACCCGGCGATGCAGCGCAGGCAAGTGGTCTTGCCCGAGCCGGAATGCCCGTACAGCGCAGTGACGCCGCGCCCGGGCAGGTGCAGGTCCACATCGAGAGCAAAGCCGGAGTACGACAGTCGCAGGCGTATTTCCATCATCGATATCAGTTCCAGCCCATGTTGGTTTTACGGCTGGAGTAGAGCGCCAGCAACACAAAGAACGCGAACACCACCATGGCGCCGGCCAGCCAATGGGCCTGGGCGTATTCCATGGCTTCGACATGGTCGTAGATCTGCACCGACACCACGCGCGTCTTGTCCGGAATATTGCCGCCGATCATCAGCACCACACCGAATTCACCCACGGTGTGGGCAAAGCCCAGAATGGAAGCGGTGACAAACCCTGGCCGCGCCAGGGGCAGGATGACGCTGAAGAACGTGTCCCACGGCCCGGCGCGCAGTGTCGCAGCGACTTCCAAAGGCCGCGTGCCGATGGCCGAAAAAAGCGTTTTGCAACGGCTGCACCACAAACGGCATGGAATAGATCACCGAGCCAATCACCAGCCCGGCGAAGCTGAATGTCAGGGTGCCCAGCCCCAGCCACTGGGTGAACTGGCCGAAGTAACCGTTGGGCCCCATGCTCAGTAGCAGGTAAAAGCCGATCACCGTCGGTGGCAGCACCAGGGGCAGGGCGACGATCGCCCCCACCGGCCCGCGCCACCAGGAGCGCGTACGTGACAGCCACAGGGCAATTGGAGTGCCGATGACCAGCAGGATCACGGTGGTCAGTGACGCCAGTTTGATGGTCAACCAGATCGCAGAAAAATCGGCACTCGATAGGGGCATTTACAGCTCGTAACCGTAGGATTTGATAACGGCAGCGGCTTTCGGCCCTTTGAGGTATTCGACCAGCGCTTTGGCAGCGGCGCTGTCTTTGCCTTTGTTGAGGATCACCGCGTCCTGTTTGATCGGGTCATGCAAGGCCGCGGGGACGATCCACGCCGAACCGCTGGTGACTTTGCCGTCTTTATAGATCTGCGACAAGGCCACAAAGCCCAGCTCGGCGTTGCCAGTGGAAACGAACTGATAGGCCTGGGTGATGTTCTGGCCTTCGACGAGCTTGTCCTTGACCTGTTCGCTCAGGCCCTGTTTGGCCAAAACCTGGGTGGCGGCCAGACCATAGGGCGCCGCTTTGGGGTTGGCGATGGACAAGTGCTTGAACTGATTGCGTTTTAACACCTCACCGTTGGCATCGACATAGCCAGCTTGAGGCGACCACAGCGCCAAGGTGCCCACGGCGTAGGTGAAGCGCGAGCCTTTGACTGTATCGCCTTCGTTTTCGAGTTTCTGTGGGGTGCTGTCGTCGGCGCTGAGGAACACTTCAAAGGGCGCGCCGTTCTTGATCTGGGTGTAGAACTGGCCGGTGGCGCCGTAGGACGCGACCAGTTTATGGCCGGTGTCCTGTTCGAAGCTGGCGGCCAGCGCCTGGATCGGTGCGGTGAAATTGGCCGCCACCGCCACTTGGACTTCATCGGCGTGGGCCGAGCCGAACACGAGGGCGGTAGCCAGGACGGCCAGGCGTGAGGCATGAATCAGCATGAAGCAGCTCCTTGGAATGCACGGCGTGGTTAATCGCTATGTACGGGACTATATAGCGGTTAGCCACTGCCGGTACAGTGCAACGTTGCCGCAACGGATTACGTGAGTTTGGCCAGCGCCTGCTCGGCCAATTGACGCGTCAGTTCATAGGTGCCGATGTCACGGCCCAGACGCAAGGCCTGGCCTGACCACAGGTTGCTGAAACCGCCTTCATCCTTTGCTTTGAGCGGCATCAAGGCGCCGCCGGCGCGGGGAAATGCCGGCGCTGCGGGATTCATCGCGCCCAATTCGCGCATGACTCGATTGACGATGCCTCGCGCCGGGCGGCCGGTGAACAGGTTGGTCAAGGCGGTTTCACTGGCCTGGGCGTGGCGCAACCCATAGTGATGGGCCGCGCTCACATTGGCTTCGGGGGTAAACAGGTACGCCGTGCCGACCTGCACCGCCGAGGCGCCCAGGGCGAACGCTGCGACGATGCCCCGCGCGTCGCCGATACCGCCCGCGGCGATCACCGGCACGCTGACGGCGTCGACGATCTGCGGCACCAGCGCCATCAGGCCGATCTGAGTGTTGAGGTCATCGCTAAGGAACATGCCCCGGTGACCTCCAGCCTCGATGCCCATGGCGATGATTGCATCGCAACCGTGGGCCTCTAGCCAGAGGGCTTCTTCCACCGTGGTGGCCGACGACAGCACTTTGGCCCCAGTGGCTTTGACCCGATCTAACAAAGCTTTTTCCGGCAGCCCGAAGTGGAAACTGACGACCTCGGGGCGGAACGCCTCTACCACCTGACACGCCTCGTCGTTGAACGGCGCACGGTTGGACACCGGCGTCGGCGCCTCGAAATCGGCGCCCAGTTCGCGGTAGAACGGTTGCAGCAGGGCTTTCCAGCGTTGGTCGCGAGCCTCGTCCGGCGCAGGCGGCTGATGGCAGAAGAAGTTCACGTTAATCGGCCGGTTGCCGGCCGCACGGATGACGCTGAGGCTTTCACGCAGTTGCTCGAGACTCAGCGCGGCGGCGGGCAACGAGCCCAACGCGCCTGCCTGGTTGGCGGCAATCACCATGGCGGGCGTGGTGCCGACGGCCATGGGCGCCTGGATAATGGGTACCTCGATGCCGAGCAAGTCGAGAATCCGTGTGTCAGGCCAGGTGCTCATGGATGGGGCTCCAGCGAAGGTCAGTGGTTTCGCTGTTTTTAGCAGGGCGTATGCCACGCGGCCAGTCTGTTTTATTCACTGGACGCTGTGGACGTTTCGTGCAGTGCTATCAGCTTTTGCTGTTACGTTCGCGCTCAAGCAATGCCTGCTTGCGTGCAACGCCCCAGCGGTAGCCGGACAGCTCGCCATCGCTGCGCACCACCCGATGGCAAGGGATTGCCACCGCAAGGCTGTTAGCGCCGCACGCCTGGGCCACGGCACGAAACGACTTGGGTGCGCCGATGCGCTGGGCGATCTGCGCATAACTGGCGGTGCTGCCCACTGGGATATCCCGCAAGGCTTGCCACACACGCTCCTGAAACGCGGTGCCACGCAGGTCCAACGGCAAATCCAGGCCCAGCGCGGGCGCCTCGACAAAGCCGACGACCTGGGCCACCAACCTTTCGAACGTCGCATCGGCGCCCACCAGTTCGGCCTTGGGGAATTGGTCTTGCAGGTCGCGCAACAGTTGTTCGGGGTCGTCACCCAGCAGGATCGCACAGACGCCTCGACTGCTCTGCGCCACCAAAATCGCCCCCAGCGAGCACTGCCCGACGGCGAACCAAATAGCGTTGTGAGCGCCGCCGGCCTTGTAGTCGCTGGGTTTCATGCCAAGCAGCTGATCGGCCGCTTCATAAAAACGACTGTTGGAATTAAAACCGGCGTCGTACAGCGCAGCCGTCACGGAATGCTGGCCCTTGAGCCCGTCGCGCACTTTGCGGGACCGATGGGCATTGGCGTAGCCCTTGGGCGTCAGGCCCGTCACGGCCTTGAAAACGCGATGGAAATGGAACGGGCTCAGACCGGCTCGGTCAGCGAGGGTATTCAGACTCGGCGCAGTGGCGGCCTGCTCGATATGCCGGCATGCGTCGGCCACCAATTGGGCGTGGTGGGCGGCCAGTTGGGTCTGGTCGCCGCTCGCGCGTTTGCTGGGGCGATAGCCGGCGGCTTCGGCCTGCGCCGGGGTGTCGAAAAACTCAATATTCTCCGGGCGCGGCAGCCGCGAAGCGCTGCTGGGGCGGCAATAGACACCGGTGGTCTTAACGCCATACACAAACCACCCATCAGCGTTGCTGTCGCGGGCCACAATGGCAGCCCAGCGGGGATCTTGTTCGATAGTCATGCTTGGCACTCTTGACGGCTCCCGGGCAGATTAACCGCGCCGAGACCGCCTGGCACTCCGAAGCTTGCGGTCAAATCAACCGGCGGTGCGTAGCGTCAGGTTGATGCGTTGCGGGCCCATCACCGGATGCACCCCGTCTTTGATCGGCATCACCCCATGAAAGCGCAGGCGGTCCACACCGCCCCAGACCACCACATCGCCATGGAACAGTGAGATTTTCTGCGGTTTGTCAGCACGGGCATGGCCACCGAACAGGAAGATCGCCGGCAGGCCCAGGGATATTGACACCACGGGCGCTGCGTAATCGCGCTCGTTTTTGTCCTGGTGCAGCGACATCTTGGCCCCGGCCACGTAGCGGTTGATCAGGCAGGCGTCGGGGGCGAACGCGGCGAAACCGGCCTCGGCCGCTGCCTCTACAGCCAATGCCCGCAAGGCTTCGGGCAAGGCGGGCCAAGGCTGTTGGGTGCGCGGGTCGAAGGGGGTGTAGCGATAGCCGGTGGTGTCGGTGGTCCAGCCCAGGTCACCACAACTGCTCAAGGCTGCCGACATGGTAAAGCCACCGGGGGTAACCATTTGGCGAAACGGTGCTTGCGCCAACACGCGGCGCAGTTCCGGTAGAAGACGATCAATCCAAGGCAGGGCGTAGCCTCTTAGCACGTAGGACTGTTCGCCGATCTGCTCACGCCCTGCGGGTTGCTGCAAGGCGTGGTCGGCGAACAGGTCCGCAGTGGGGCCGGGCATGGGCTTAGAGTGCCTTGCTCACAGTGATGTCGGTAATTTCATCACTGGATTCATGAATTTTCGCCAAGGCTTGCTTGGCTTCTTCCAAGTCGTTGCTGTGCAGGTGGGCAAACTCGAAACGGCGCTCGCCGTTGA